GTAATACCTATTAAGTAATTAAAGATTCATTTCGAGTCTTTTCAATTTTCAAGTTGTTTTAAATGAGTAAAAATTATCTTTCGCTATAAATGAAGCAGTTTTAACTGTAATATTGTCCCTAATAAGTAATAACATCATAGCTTCTATAAGCTATTGTGTAGTGTACATTATAAAGTCTGAATTATGCCCTTTCATAACACAAAATAATAAGATTCCTACATAAAGGTGCTTAGTTTAGCATAGACAAAGATATCTTTATTCTGCACAGAATAGAAAGCAATTTTTGAACTTAAATATTAACTATATTTTAGTACTTACAAAACTCAAAATGTTTGTCTCCTATATTCTTAAAACAGGTACCAATTTTGCCAATTTCCCAGTAACCACTACGATTAACTAGTAAATGATCACTCTAGTTATAATTTCCAGCAAGGAGGTCGAAAGGCTACTGAATCGTGCATAATTAACTAGGCTGAATGATAGAGCGACTGACGCTTTAGCCATGATTATAGGTTACAAGTTAAAATACCGATTGCAACGATACTTACTTGATTCATTGGTCTTTTAGGTTCTAATGGCATAAAGTAACCCCTTAATTGTAATGTAAATAAATGTAAATAAAAAAAATATTAGGTGTGACGTCACTAAGTGTCACTTATCACAGCTTAGAGGTTGCATTAAATTAAATTCAAGAGACGTTGGTGAAAACGGCCACAGGGGAGTTTTGAAAGATACTATTTTATTTTTTTTTGTTTTTGAAGCTATTTTTTTAAGTTATGTCTCTTTATTATTCCCTACTTATTGCTAGGTATAATGTCTTCAGTAGATGAGGCAAATCAATTAATGATTTAATTCTCATCTTTAAATAAATTACTAGTACTTATACTGATTATCTACCTACTATTAATACTGATATAAAACTTAGGTAATACATGTTTTACATCTATTTCTAACAAGGAAAGTTAAAAAGTTAATAAATATCTCTCTACTCTTAAGTATTTTCACACTTCTGCATTTCAACGTCAAAACATTTATTTCATTAAACCGTAATATGATACTTTTGAAACGTCAATAAAAACAAAATACATAATAGTCTGTCAGTCTGTCCGTCAGTGAAGCTACATAGGTGGTTTCTATGGAAAAACTAGCACCATTAGCTTCGATGCCAGGAATAAAGGTGTAATCAATGTTTTCTAGTTCGAACTTACTTTACATGTTATATGTGAGTACCTAAGGAAAGGGTCCTTAATCAAAAATAAATTATTTCGACTGTTCAATACAATAAAATGTAAAAAATAATCACACAAAATATAACTTAATTCAATTTTAGTATTTTTCGAGCACATTTTTAAGAAATAAGTACGCAGTTTGACGCTTAAAAACGTTGACGTCACAATACACAATCTTGTACAAAATTCATAGAAAACTGTAGTTTTTGACAGTTCGAAAAAAAGTATTGAATTTGACTAGTTAGCAAGTACCCAATTCCATAAAGAAGACAAAGACATCACCTTTTCATCCAGACTATTAAAAGACATTATTATAAGCGTTAAAAAAATGAATTTATTTTTAAAACTTGAAAATAATAGCAGTTTATTTGCTAACCGCCATATTTCGGACAAATGATAGCGTTTGCCAGTTAATGGCGATGTATTCAAGTAATAACATGGCTGGACTGAATTTTGTATTCAATCGATTTCGCGAACATTAAATTTGTGGTGCACCTGACTTCCGAACAATTTTCCCTAATGAAATTATAATTTACAATGATAATTATTTTAAGGTTCCTTATCTGTTTGGTTTTTTTTAGTTGGAGGTCCAATTACCAGCCTCCCCAATCTCCTTCATCCCCGAATACCCAATCCTCAAATTCGTACCCCGAAAATGCGCCGGGAACGCATTCTGGTGTTTGATGGTGTTCTGTCCAAACCAAAGGCGGCGTTTACCGGCTTATGGCATAAAAAATATATTAAAGTAATATACTAAGTAGGAATCATCATTCCGTTGTTAGAAACACAAGAAAGACCTCTTGAATCATCATATTCAGCAGTGACAGTGACAGTACACTACTAAATGTCAGCCACTTTTATATAAGATTTAAGTGTGGGAGAGCCATGCTTCAGCACAAATGGGTCGGCTCGACCGGAGTGATACCACGGCCTCACAGAAGACCGACGTGAAACAACGCTTTCGTTGTGTTTCGTCGAGTGAACGAGCTTACCGGAGGCCAATTACCCTCCCCCCATCCCCAATCCCTGAATCCCTAACAATCCTCAAATTCCTAATCCAGAAGGCCGGTAACGCACTTGTAACGCCTCTGGTGTTCCAGGTGTCCATAGGCGACGCCGATTGCTCGTTTACCGGCTTATGCCAAAAAAAAAAGGTTTATCACATCTGCCCGTTTGGCAGTCAGATTGGAGATCAGCTTCAAAGGTCAAGATACATCAGAGAAAACTGTGATCTTTGTCTAATTAAGTAGAATAGGGATGGTGACAAAAATGTATTCTAACCAGCCACTTCCACGCTATTTCACCCGCTCTGCTCGGCTCCTATTGATCGTAGAGTGATGTTTTTTAGCGTCTAGCTTTGATAAATGGATTATCCAACACGAATATATTTATTCAAATCAGGAGTAGTAGTTCCTGAGATCAGCGCGTTCAAACAAACAAACAAACTCTTCAGCCTTATATAATACTTTATTTCCGACGCCCGGAATGTCTCTCGCCACGGCGCGTGAGGAGATTTGTTCCCTCACGCGCCCCGCCTCCTCCTTAGCTAGCATGACTGACGGCATCCCAGTCCCCCTTGCCCCGTACCATAGTCTGAACTAGAGCCGGACGCGAGAGGTCGCCGTCGCCGATCACATCTCTGAGGACACGGCGGTGCTCAGCCCACGCAGCAACACACCGCCACCGTATGCTCCACCGTGTCCTCCGGACGGTCCTCGCAGTGATGACACCCGGGCGTTTCCTCCCGCCCAATCCGAAACAGGAACTTAACGAAACTTTCGTGTTCGGTAAGCACCTGCGTCAGGCGATAGGTGAGGACGCCGTAGCGTCTCTCAAGTCACTCCTCAAAGAGGGGACTTACCGCTGCAATGACAGCGAGCCCAAGCCTTATATAATACTAGCTTCTGCCCGCGACTTGGTATGCGCCATTCGGTTTTCTCCCGTTCCCGTAGGATTAGCAGGATTTTTTTCTGCGCGCGTTTTCAGTTGTTCTACTCGGCGCCTATTGATCGTAGCATGAGTTTTTATAACCTATAAATTCACTATCTAACAGAAAAATATTATTCAAATCGGACTAGTCGTTCCTGAGGTTAGGGCATTTAAACAAACTATATGTCTGTTTGTTTGTTTGTTTTTTTGTTTGTTTGTACGAAAATAAAATATAAGATTAGAATTTATAGTCACCAATTAACTTACCTTTCCAATAGCACGGCGTTCAGCTCAATAGAACTTAGAAGCGAAGGTATTTAAGTAAACTTATCGCCACTTAATCCAGGATTTAACATAAGTTAAGACTTTATCGTAGATGCTATGCAATGTAAGCGAGTAACTGTGACCAATTTAACGGCTCATTAACTTTGCTCTTTGGCAAGCTTTCAACCGAGTTCAAGTTAACTGTGATTGATCGACTCGACT